GGCCGCGCGCGCTCCCGGGAGTCTCCGCGCGGCGCGGAAGCTTCTGCCCGCGTTTGGACAAATAACCTCCTTGGCCACCCAACGACACGCCCCGTGGAACCCTAGTGCCTGCATATTGAGAATGAGCAGTTTGTCCGCCTGAGCCAGGGACCACGTCAACCTGAGAATCCCACGCTTAGAATTTGGCGGAGATAGAGACCAGAGCAATCGCCAGCAATCCCTGAAGCGGGAAATGAGAAGATACGGCTAAGGTCCAAAAAGAGGCCTTGACGTGAGGGTCTTGCCCGACACCACCCTGCTTGTCAGCATTCCCGAGAGCTTTGGTTTTATCTTGTATAAGCAGAACGAGAAGCTTTGCTTAAGGGACCGAGCATCAACACAGCAAAATGAATCTTTGTTTTAAGCGTCAGGACACTGCAAGCGGCAAAGGCCAGAGACCTTGGAAGCCGGGCCCACGCCCGGTAACGTCGCCGAGAGTCCCTCCCATCTTCCCCCAGCCCCGCCTTTCTTCAATGCCCAACAGTGGTCGAGCTCTTCCCACGCCCTGTCAGCTACGGGCGCTTGGAAAACCGGGAGAGCGGAGCCCTGAACAGCACCAGAGGGCCCAGGGACACATAGCAACAGCCGGCTGGGGCACCTAGCAGGGAGCTGGGATTCACTCCAGCCAACCAGACCACGTCTCTGGACCCCATGGCACCATTCTCGGCAAATAAAGAGCTGTTTCGTATCACGTGACACCAATCCACCAGCCAGTGGGGAAAAACTCTAGTTGTAGGATGAGCCAATCCACCTTCCACTGTCTGGCCAGGCTGGGCGTTTGCTCCCGCTCCCGCTCTGCCAACCAATCGTAAGCGTGCTGACGAAGGAAGGCTCGAGCTCAACCAACTAGAATTCGCGATTCCTTTGCCACCAAGGACAGGTAGTATGGAGACAGGGACAGGATGCTGGGGTTTGGGAGGGGTCAGAAATTGAAGAGCCAGTCGCTGCACCCTATTCTGGCAAAGGAACAAAATGTGTTTCAGGCGAGAGAGATGAATTCTGCTTTTAACTTCGTCCCCGTGGCATTCTGCCTAAAT